ACAAAATATTACGTGTATAGAGACTCAGTTAAACACTGAATTTGGCTGAAAGTTTCAAAACTAAGAGGGAAAACTGCTTTTCACCCTGAGATTTGCTCATGCTGTGTGTAAGAAGTCCAGGTGTGTTTCTGGAGATGCTGAAGAGCTGAAATTACTTATTTTCATTTTTGGATTACCAGAGGAATGGGGAGATGGTGATGCCTGGTTTTGTTTTCCCTAAACATATCACAGACATAAAAATCCAGAAACATCCAAAAATGGACAGCTCTGAGTCTTGCATCATGTCTAAAAAGGTTAAAAAGTATTTCTGCAGCTTTTAAAATAAAAACAATTATTCAGGAGCAGTTTTAGAGGTTTTTAATCCAACCAAGACTTGTCCTATGTGGTTCCATGCAAAGATCAAGCTCATGGGAAAATCCCACCCAATAAGTGAGCTTAAGCAGGAAAGAGCAATAATAAAATGCTGACCTCGAAGCAGCTTTTCCATCTCTTTGGAGCCAGTGGTGATATGGATGATCTCTGACCACTGCAGGTGGAATTCTGTGCTGTAGTGAAACCCTGGAAGCCAGTTTGGCTGCCTCAGCCTGTGGGAAAACTCAAGTGAGCAGTTGCAGGAGAGCTCATGCCATTCATTAACCCGCAGTAATTAATATTTCCTGCCTTGTGGAGAGGTGCCTGTATCATTCCATGCACATTTCATAGACCTCACAAGAGTTGGTACCTCTGAATAGAACTGAAATTCTGCTCCAAGGAAAAGCTCCAACATCCTTTTTGTGTGTTTTATGGAAATATCCTCCCCTTCAGCTCAATCCTGTGCTGGTGCATTTTACCTTTTCCTGTGACAAGTCATGTGACACCTCCAATCACCTCTACTCCCCTTTGGAGATCTTCAAAAATTCACCACACTGCTTTCAGCCAGCAGAAATAAACCTGTGGAATATCTTGGGTTAAAGCTCCAGAACATCCTTATCGGAATTTTGTCAGCTTTGGTTTCACTGATGCCTTTAATGTTCAGCAGCTCCTTCTCTGTTCCAAAAGCCACGGCCTCCACTGTGTGAAATCCAGCTTCTTCCAGCCTTTCCCCATCACTGGAATTGATGCCACATTGCTGGGGGGGGGGGGGGGGAAAGGACACCTGTTAGTGTTTTCGGATTGTTTGGGGTTTTTTTCCCAGAACACAAGTAAGAATTTATCAAAGAAGTTTGCATAGTCACCTTGTTTTAAAGGAAAAGACTTAGTTTTCTCCTGTTCAGAAAAATCACTCTATGAAAAGCCAGTGTCCATAAAGGAGACAGAGAAGTCCTGCCACTTTATTTATTAAAAACCCTTCAAGCTAGGCTGTTTTCCATGGCTTTCTGTTCTAATCTAAAGGATTTATAACCTTTACTACAAAAGAGTTCAAACCCATAGCAAAATACATAGAATCCAATTATATCAGCAAAATAACTTATTTTTCTCATGCACCCCATCAGAGGTCCTGGTGGAACCATCAAGTGGTACAGATGCAGGGAAAGAATTAGGATCATTTCTCCAATTCCAGTGTTCTTGGTGAGGCTGGGAAAAATAAGGAGAATTTAGTTTACATGAGAAGACTGGAGTCTGTTTTAGTGACTGGCAGACAACACTTGAAGGGAAACATTTTCATCTGCCTCAGCATAGGCAAACCACAAACAGCAGGATGGAATCTTGGAACAAAAATTATCAGGTGATTTTTCCCAAGGTGACATCTCCCCAGACAGCAGCCAGTGTAAGCACAGCTCACAGGAGAGATCTCTCTTCTCCTGGGATAGATATTTTCACTGTTTCCCTGCCTTTCACATCCTCAACAGCAAATTTTCCTTATGGGTAACATGTAAGAAAAGAAAAATTCCATGTGAATTGTTTACTTGCCAGGATGACAGCCTTGGGACAGACATTTTCCCTGCTGTGCTCCTACTCTTTTCAGTGTACCCTGAACAAGTTTTCCAGCCAGGAGACCCCAAATGGGCACCAAGAGCCACCCCTCAGTACTGGAGATATTTACACCTCAGCTCTTGGCTGCAGACAAGTGTCCTGAAAGCTCCAGCAGGAGCACAGCCTTCAGCACAGGTCCTTTTGCACAGTCCAGGTGCACACAAAGCACACACTCAGACTCCTCCCTCCAGACTCAGTCACCTTCTGGGTGCCACAAAAAGAATTCCAACCTAAATGGGATTTCCTCCCACTCCAGGCCTTCAGGGCACTGCTGGACAAGGGCAGTGCTCCCTCCCTGGCATGCTGGATTCAGTTTGACTGCTGAAATTACTGCTGAAATATTACACATACAGCAAACCCTTTTTGAATTAAAAAGATAACACTTCCCTCGGCTGGAGAATGGAAAAAAAAAAGTGAGATCTGCTAAATTTCCCTAAGCCAGGCAACACAATTCAAGACAAACAAAAAAGTCTTTTCAGTCTGGGTCAAAAAGAACCTTTCATTCCACCCTTTTCATCATTTCAACAAACAAAATTCATTTTGTCTGTCTTCAAACAAAAAGCCAAATCAGCTTTGAGAACTGTATATTCTGGTGTCCCAAGCTACCATATTGATGCATTTCTCTTCCCAATACGTATCAGAATAGAAACATCCAAACTCACTTTTCCTGCAGAATTCTGTGTCAGCAGCTCAGCACTGCCTGATGAAAACCCCACCGATTTCCAGTCGGTTCTGCCTGCTTGGATTTTCAATTCCCTACCCTGGCATCTGGGGCAGTTGTTCGCACTGGGCAGGACAGGGATCACACCACGGGAGCCTTTGGGTGCTGCTGTGCCAGCTCTAAAGCAGCATTTCCTTCCTTCTTCCCATGCTTCCAGAGCTGCCTGACAGCCCGGGAATGCCCCTGGCCAAACCCCACAGCTCTGGCTTGCTGGCTTCTTCCCAGCCCTAAGGGATTTCACAGAAACAAGGGCTGAAAGCCTTCCTGGGAAGGAGGAAGAACATTTAAGCGTGTCTAAGCAATCCCTCAGCTCTATCCCTTTCTCTCCCTTCCTTTTGCTTATCTCCTTCATGTGGTCCCACAGAATTCCCAGTGAACAGGGGATCCACGGCCCTCCCTCCCCCTGCAGGACAGCACACCCGGAATGCTCAAAAACCCTCAGCTCTGCTGCTTCAAGGGCTTTCACACGCAGGGAACTGAGCGCTCCCAGATACAAACACCGCATTTGGGACAAATCTGATGAAGAGTTGATTTGGCTGCCAGTTCTACGGCTGCTTACACACACACAAACACACACACACACACACACACACACACGGCTGCTGCCAGTTGTCATTCCAGCAGCTCCCGGGGACAGGAACACCCCCACAGCTCCCACCCCCTCATTCCGAGTTTCCCCAGGGAGCTGCTGCCAGGGGAATTCTCCCTGCCCGGCCAACCCTGCCTGCAGCCCCGGCCGCCGCCCTCACCTCTGAGAGGAGCCGCATCCTGCTGCTGCTCCCGGCAACGCTGGCCCACGGTGCGCGTCCCACAGCCCATGTCCCCATCCCGTGTCCCACAGCGGGAAACGCCGCGGAAAACTCCGCTGAAAGCACCGGGTCGGGGCGCGGATCGCGTTGAGGCAGCCGAAGACAAACAGCCGCCATTTTTCCTACTCAAGGCGCATGCGCGCGATGCCGCCATCTTTGGAAGGTCAATAGGTAGCGTGCCAAACCGCTATCTTTGCTGTGGTACATTTAAGGCCCCCCCCCGCTCCTCACAGAGGCGTCTGTTTTTTGGGTGCCTGGAATTCCCAAGTCGACCCAGCTCTTTTCGCGGTGTTTCCTGGTGCGGGGACACGGGCTGTCGGGTCAGCGGCGGCGGGAGCTGCGCGAACGGCAGCAGGCAGACACAGGAACGCCGCTGTCCCTGTCCTGCCGCATCCGCCATTTTGAGTGTGGCTCAACACGGCGACCGGCCGTGTGGTGGTGGCGTTTCCGCCATCTTGGGAGTGGCTGGCGGCGGCGTCCGTGTCGCGCCGCCATGTTGAGAGCAGCTCACGGGCTGTGCGCCCGCCCGGCGTCCCCGGTACCGGCGGCACGGCTGCCATTCTATCGCCGCGGCCCCGCTCGTGGCCCTGGCTGTTCGCACTCCTAACTCTCCTTTACTCTGATTTCCAGACATCGCCTCGCTCCGTCCCGGCTCTTGCCTTTCCCATGCTCGGCAGCTACGGAGGCCGCCGGTGTCCCGTGGCACACAGCAAGGGACACAGGGACAGCAGGGACAGCAGGGGACAGCAGGGGATAGCAAGGATAGCAGGGGATAGGAGGGGATAGCAGGGACAGCAGTGCCGGTCTCAGCCGCCAGGCGGCAGCAGCACCGCACAGCTCAGCCGGGGAGAGAGAAGGGAGAAAAAGCGGGCACAGAGCCTTTTTATTTCCTTCACCCCATCATCTTTTCTTATGTTTTCAGGCATTTGATTGTTTCATTCGTATATAAAAACGTTATGTCATTACGTTCAAAGCCTACGGATCGCTACTCAGGAGTTTCTTATATTCCTGTATATAATATATTAGATAGGGTTTATTTTGAAATGTATTTTTATATCAATTAGTATTACCCATCAATATATATATAAATTAAAAACTTGACAGGTTTCAGCATTCTACACACACCCCCTCCCTGTGAATTTTCCGGCAGTTTTGGATCCCTTTGGGTGAGGGCACCCAGAGGATTCCCCAGTCACCTGCTCCTCCACAGCATCGTGGCTCTCCCAGGGACATTGGGGTGCCCCAAATGACATCAGAGCCCCCAAACACAAACACGGTCTCTTTTCCCTGTGACACAAAACTCACCACCCCAGGTTCCTGATGTCAGCTTGCAGGATGCACTTGGGAGTGTCAAGGCAGCACAAGTTTGAGAAGAGGGAGGGCTGGGTCTGGGACACATCCTTGGCCGTTCGGATCTTTTGGAGGTGGCTGCCCTGTCCCCACCTCCTCCCCAGCCTTTTTTCCTCATCCCCGAAGAAGGGTGAGTCAAAACAAGTCAAACTGCCCTGGGCAGCAGCGCGTTGCTTTAAAAATTTACAAGTGTACATCCCCCCAAAAGGGCTCTGCTGGAACAATAAAGGGGGTCAGCCCTCAGAAGGGTTGAAGTTCCTCCCCAGCTCCGGTGTCACAGGCTGGTGGCCACCCCACCTGAGCAGGCAGGGAAAGCCTGGACTGCCTTGGCTCCAATCAAGCCAAATTCAGTCCCTGTGCTCTGAAGGGGCAGAGAAGCTTCCCCACTATGGACAACAGGTTCATCTCCACTCAAGAATTAATGCATCACCTGGTCCTGGCTGTGTTCCTTGCCTGTCATACAGCATTTTCATTGGTCATGAAAAAATGCATTTCAAGAGTTTTAAACTATTACTGACCAAGCATTTTTGTTTTGAAAAACAACCAAGGAAATACCATGGATGGGAGACAATTCAATTTGAAGAGTCTCTGAATTTCTGATATTTGAAAGGAAAACGAACAGGATAAGTGCAGGAGTATATAGCCATTACAAATAGAACCAGTACGTTTCCCAATATTGCTTTTGGTATTTCATGGAAAAAAATCCATTCAGCCCAGAATTTCTCATCCTCACCTTCTTTCCCTAGCAACACAATTTCAGAACAAACAGCTCATTATTATTAAAAAATAATCCCCTCACAGGACTGTTAACTTCTCCATTAAAGAAGCTTCTTTTGTTATTAAGGTTTGGGGATTTATTACATCCAGCTTTAGTTCCTGTAACCTTCCCATTTACTCCTCTGTTTAAAAAAAAAAAAAGTGAGGGGTTAATAAATAAAGAGAGACCAACTCAACTATAAACATTTTCTTGTTTTTTAGTATTTCCTAACATCAAGCATCTCACACTGGAGAAGAAAGAATAGCTTGTTTCAACACATCCAAATTTCTCCAAATTTTAGTATCATCTGCTTCCTGGAATTATGAAAAGTGTTTTGTACAGCACAATGAATAAAAGGGTTGAATTTTCAGAAGACACAATTGCAGGAGGATAGACACCAAAAAGTGCCTCCAGAGGCAATTTGGGCACATATTTCTATTTTTGCACTCTGAGATTTCTTTTGTGTCACACCTGAAATTCTGAGCTTTTTAGTAGTCTGCCCCAGTCCTTCCTTCTCCTGTCAGTGCTGCTATCACATGAAAAGAGAGGAATTTTCTTTAGCACTGGATGTCAGCTTTAACACCACAAGAAGTGGTTCAGCAGGCAAGAAACCTGCCTGCTGCTTCCTCGACTGCTGAGGCCAAGGATGCCAACTCAATGAGAGAGCTGCCACATCCTTCCTTTGCTCAGAGCTTGCAATGGGACAAGCAGCACAAAACCCAGCAGATCAAAGCCATGTCTACACAAAACTTTCCAGTGGGAACCATTTGAAACAAAAAAAAAAGCACGCCCCAAAGACCACAGCACACAACATCCCGAATTATAATTCAAGTTCTGTGCAACACTCCCCCTTTACAAAACAAGAGACAGACCCGTACCAGGGGTCTCGGTATATGGCAAACTCACACCATGGACCCATCTCCATAAGGACAAGGCACCTTTGCAGGCACCTGCCTTGTGTGACACCACTCCCAGCAGGCTGGGGAGACCCCCCTGTCCCTCTCAGCCCTCCCTGCCCTGGCTGGGGTGCAGAGTGTCCCCCACACCCTCGTCAGGCTGGGACAAACCCACAGAACACATGTGCTCAACACCAGCTGATCTCCTTCACCATTTCCTGCCAGCAGACTGATGGCTTTCAATCCTAAATTAGGCTCTCTAGATTATTTCTCTGCCCCTTCTCAACAATCTTTTCCTTAAATTTTCTCTTCCAGCCCCCCAGTTCTGTCTAAAACAATGCATCTAAATAATAATACAGATAATATATCAAGTTCAGATAAAGGCACTGAAATCAGCAGTTCTGATGTTACAATTTTCTTACAGATAACAGAAGTTTGCTAAAAACTCTCCTGGCACAGGGAAAGGAAGAGGAGAAAGCACATAGACTTTCAATGCAGTACTCTAAAACTAGCAAGAGATTTAGTCTTCTATATTAAATGTCAAAAATCACATGCATAATTATAGAATACTTTTGTATTCTTTATAGAATACTAAATAGAATACTTTAATTTAAAAAAAAATCAAAAACCCATCCCTGACAGTTTGCCTGCAACTGCTATAAAATATCTACTTTATCTGTATGTGTGTGTCTGTGTATATATATACATAATGATTTTCTGTATTCTTCTTACAGGCATTTTAAGTCTGCTTTTCTTCCCAGGTGTTTTTCTGCTAAAGGAATTCCCATATTTTTTGATCCTAAATAAAGTTTGGAAAGCTGAGTTTCATGAGAACTGATTCATATTTTTACTATTCTTAACTTGGAGTTTCAAACCAAAATCTGTAGGTAAACCAAATATGGCCTTGAAGGCCCATAAGATCCCAGATATCCAATCCCCAATTCCCACAGGATTTCTTCATTGAAGCTTTTCAGGGTTAATTTAGAAACCTTAAGGTTTTTGTGATTTCATGATCAAAACAACAAAAAATCTGTGAGAAAGAAACTTGACTAAAGCTGGCTAACACTGGTCCCTGCTGCTGACTAATTAAAACAACTGATTAAAAAGGAGGTAGGATTGATATAATACTCACAAACCCATCTTGCCAAGATCAGAGCTCTGTGCCCACCAAGGCAACCAGCAGGGACATTTCTCCCACTCTCCAGCAGAGACCTCCCTCCACATCCAGGGAGCTGCAGCCACTCAGGGAACACCAGGGAACTTTAGTCCTGGGCTGGGAACTAGAAAAGTAAAAAGAATATTTTTAAGTCATTCTAACCTCAGCAGTGTGCAGACCTGGGAGAAAGCACTTCCCACAGCACTCTTGGAATTTTCTTCCCTGTCCTTTCCAGCTTTGGAAGGTTTCTGTGGGAGCCTGACTTACTTGTGCAGTTCAGAAGCTGTACATCCCTGAAGCATTCCCTTGGGAACATGAAACTCCCCTCATGCATTTCATTTCTTTATTCCAAATATTCTCCCCAGTTATCCACAATCTAGAAAGAAAAGGAGGACAAATTAATTCTGATATAAGGAATGTTGATTATCCCAACACAGTTCCAGGTGAAAAAACATTTCTGCCATTCTAACAAATCCACTTTACATTATCTGTATTAAGAATCTTAGAGACACAACACTTGGAATTCTCAAAAATGGCTCAGTTTTGCGACATGAAAGGCTTACACACCCAGGGAACTGAGTGGTCCCAGATATAAACACCACACTTGATACAAATCTGATATAAATTTGATATTGTTTGGCTACTAAGCTTTTCCAAAAGCTGTATAGTCAAGGCTGGAAATCCTTGCTGAGGATTTTCCATGTCACATCTGGATTTATGCTGGGGAAAACCCCGCTCCGAGGATTTGATTTTAAAGAGGTTGTACTTGATGTTATAGACACAGAATTTCTTTGTGATTTGATTTTTCCTGCACCTCCAAACACATTAAAATAATAAACTGCAGAGTCCTGAGGCTCAGTTATTCCCATTCTCCTCATATCCCTTTTTTCAGCTCCATGTGGATTTGGGCCTCCTCTGGAAAGGTCTGGAAAGGAATTTGGGAATCCCCTTCAGTTGGTTTGGTTTCCAGCTTTTCCTCCGAGGTGGCCCAAAAGGAAAAGAAAGAAAGAAAAAAAAAAACCAAAAACAAAACAAAACAAACAAACAAACAAACAAACAAAAAAA